GTTGTTCTGATGCATTTATGATCTTTATAGACTAAAGGGGAAAAAATACTAAGTCAAATGAATAATTTTGGATTTATCTTCACGGTTTACCACAATTATTTTAAGAAAGATATTTGTACAAATCTTAAAATCAAGGTTTTTGTTTCTCCCTGCATTCTGTATTTATGAAGACCTCTCACCTGTACGGTTTGAGGAAAGATCGGAGCCGTCTCCCAGCAGAGACTTACAAAAACCTGTTTGGCACATTCAACATTCGTGCTTCACTTCTTTTGATGGTTATGCAACAATATTTAGCAAAAATTCCACCACAGATCATATGGGTCTCATTTTCAATTGTTAACACTTTTAATTAAAAAAAGGATGTGTTAAACCTTGCAGTACTACTTAACTTTGGCAAACACACACAGCCACTGCTGATAACTGTAGCTTTTCTCTCATCTTGTCAACAGATATTCTCGCCTCCTGGTGCTGTGACAATGTCACTTTTGAGGTCTATAGCAAACCCAGCAGCCTTTAGCTAATGTGATGCAACAGTGGGTTCATGAATGAAGTAGAGCATCCTCTCTGGGACTATAAAATGTTAATTCCAGGGATTTCCCATGTGGTTCCATCACAGAAACAGTTCCCTCTAAACTGTAATGTGGTAAAATGAGTAGGATATAAGCTATTGGAAATGTCTGAGCCGCTTATAGCTTCCTAAAAAGTTCTGTTCAAAGAGCCAAACTTCTTTATAGCATCCAGTCCTGCTACGAACATCTTGGTCAGCAAAAAGTAACCAGCAACAACCTGGACCTGGAGTCCCTAAAGGGACGAACAGTGTCCGAAAGACGTCTTCTAGATGGAAAAAAACTGGCAGGCCCCTAGGAATCCCTAAAAGGGAACCCATTATTTTTCTTTCAACATGTTAGGGTGGGTCTATGCTATACAACACATGTTTATTAGACGTTTTATATAAACTCATTCTTAGATAATCAGATTGGAGTATGATCAGTCCTTCCAGAATAAGCCGTTTAGGGTCTCTTTTCACTTTAGATCCAAATAAGCCGCTGCTGGCCACACACCCAACTCAACGCTTACACTCGCACTTTGTACATGTGGAAATTGCTGAAAACAGATGCGCAATTGTACAACCATACATCTTTGATCGTGAGACAGACCCAGAAGGAGAAGAGCCTCCTGCGCTACCACCAATGATATAACCAGTGGCAACAACGTAACGTTTGTTTTTCCTAGCAGCTATTGTACAACGCTTACAGCGGTAAAACCTGCCGAATGTGACTTAATGTTTGGGAGGATTTTAAAATTGCTCATTTTCCAAACACCAAAAACAAATGATGAAGTTATTGTCAGAAGATGACTGTGCATTTTTTTAAGCACTCTGACTGTTTGAAAGTTAGTGGGAGTCTATCGTGCATAGTTGCTTTTGCATGTTTATTTCTCGACTGCTTCTACAGTGAATTTAAGCATTTTTCATACCTCAGCCAAGGGGACTATATGCAAAAAGTAGTTTTGAATGAGGAAAACAGTGACTAAGGACAATAAATGCCAAGTTACTTAAAAATTTCACTGACAATTTTTGGCAACATATTTTGAAAAGTGTCAAGTGAAACTTTATTGTCTCCACTGGAGAAAAATATCTTGAACATTTTTCTTCATGTTATTATATAAAGTAACAATATTGTCAAAAATGGGTAGCGTAAACAGCTTCAGTGCCTTTTAATCATGCTTATATTCTGAATCCTTATTTTTTTCATTTAACGAAAACGGTAAAAGTCCAATGTGTATAAAAACATTATCATGCTATACATTCAAAGATTCTTCCACCTGAATGATTGATCGTCGGCATCCCAAAAGTTACAACTTGGCTCTTGCGTGTTTGTGACTAATGGTGTCCTTGTCTGGCCTCAGTTTAAGTGGACGGCTATATCTCATTAGGTTTGCATTTGCATCAAACTCTTTCCATTTTCAGACGGATTAAACGGTGCTCGGTGGGATGTTCAGAGCTTCACATTTTTGTTTTTTAACCTAGCTCGACTTTAAAACTCCCACACCCCGCCTCACACCCGACATATCTCGTGTGGTCCTTCATCTTTACGATGCTGTTAGTTCACTAATTGTCTCTCTGAGGACTTCACAGAACAGTTTGGTTTACCAATTAGGTGATTTACCTGTAGGGATCTTGAGAATGTAAAAAATAATCAAATTACAAAAAATTTAAAACACCAGATTTGAAACAGTTTGATTAAAAAAATAAAATTATATATATATATATATATATATATATATATATATATATATATATATATATAAAAAAAAACTACACACAAAAAAAGACCACACTATATTTAGTTACACTGTTAGGAGTCATGCAGCATTGAGTTTAGACTCTGTGTGTCAACTCAGCATCCACCGACTTTGCCTCCGACTCTGAAACAGATATCTAGCCGACTCTCTGGGGACTCGAGAGGCAGAGAGGGCAGGAAAGGGAGAAGAGAGAAGAGTGTGGATGTTCAAACACTAGAGCTACACCATGCGTAGACGGACAACCACTCAGCCATATAAAAATATCCTCTCATTTTCATTAATCTTTCCCTTGCCCCATCTTCAAGTAGTTTTTTTTTTTCCTCAAGCTCTTTGCAAAATCTTCTCCCTTTTCTTCTAATTCTATGTGCACAATGGGGGTTTCTTTTTTTTTCCCATGCCAAGAGATGGTAGAGATGGAGTAGCTGTACGAGACTTCAGCTCTATGTGATCATTTACAGATTGCCTATTTGTTGCAAATAATAAGCTCTTGGTGAGCAACATGTTTTCAACTTGCTGAAATACACAACTAGAGTCAGTGAAGAATTCACTCTTCCATCAGATTTTTCTTTTTCAGAATGGCATTTCGGTGTAGTTAAAAAGACAGAAGAATGTTTAAAGTTAATATTTAAAAAATAAAATTAAAAAGGAGTTTTCTTATTTCTTCAAAAAGGTTATGGCAGTAGTGGTCTTCACTTACTGTGGGTTTTCTTTGCAGATGAGGAAAAGAGAAGGGAGCGAGAGAAGCAGCAAAGGTCCTGAGGTCGAGATGAAACCCGGCTGGCTGCTTCAAATAATGTACAGTTTCAGCCACAGCATATCAAATACATCCTCAGTGTTTAAATATAGTCCAAGTCTTGTAAATTATCCCTTTTTTGCCAAAAACTTAATAGGGTTAAGTTTTACTCCTTTGGGATTTGTCAAGCTTCTTCGTATTTCACAAGCTATGCCACCCCCGAAATGTTGATCGTCTTTTACACTTGCTTTAGCCGACATGTTCATGGCCACATACGCACACAGGTCTGTATTTCTACCCATTTTTGGACTTTGCATTCATTTCCATTCGTTTTAGTAACAGTATTTATTCCTAACGTGGACGTGTTCCCCAACCATTACGAATCTATTCCTAACCAAAATGTAATTCACACCACCTCTTATCCTAAACAAGAGGTTCCCTGTATTAGCATCAGACTTTGGTTCCCATAATCCTGCTGGCCATCAAAAGGTTAAGAAATGTGCCAGAAATGGTTCAAAATAGAAATATTTCAATTATATAGTTCAGTTATATTCTGATGTTTGCATAATAAAACATGGGATATAAAGTTAGGATGAGTAAGCAGATGTTCACAATTTAAAACGTACCTCATTTGAATATATATACTGTTACAATATAATCTTGTGAGTCTCAGTGCACCAGGCAAAACAGGTGTATGGATCGTTTATTATTATGAAAATAAAAACTTGCTTATAAAACATCCAAAAAGCAAGCAATCCTGATCGTAGTGAAATGACTACATTAACCCTTGCTAATTCCACTGAATAGTAAGAAAAGTTTTTACACATTCTACCAACTTTATAGACATAATCCTCACTTATTGAGGAGCTACTGTCATTTAATTATCAGTTATAGTCATTCAAAAGTAATTCTCCCCAGCATCTCCATAAAATGACTGGTGGTAGAGTTTCTGCTTTAACGTTTCCTCCCTCTAGCTGAATTCTAGTGTTTTTATTTTATATGATCCCATTTGGAGCATTTTTCGCTTCCAACCTTTGAGCAGAGGTTGTGGTACCAACAGCCGATAACAATGAAATGTGCACAAAGTGTGGAATAAGTGATAATGGCAGCTTTCATAACGCTGCAGCTCCATGAAAGGGCATCTGAGGCCGAATCCAAAATTAGATCGACCTGCGCTTATAGATCTCTGCTGATGTGCTCAACTTAAGCATATCAGATTACATTTCACTAAGGATCTCTCCTGGCCAAAACCCTGACCAGAGAATGCACTGTGAACATCCTCTTTTAGCGGAGTGCTGCTGAAGCATCCTGACAAGCCTTCATCACATTTTTTGCTATGAAAACTGACAGCAACACTTTGGGATGTTAGTTTCTACCTTAAAAGCCCTCTATTTTCTTTTCATGTATTATTGTTTTCAGCCTTTTTAGGAGATTAAATCACTTAAAAACAACCCAAAAGTACAAAAGTGTATATCCTCAGTCAAGGCTACTAGATACTCAGCATCACGCCATTTGACTTTTATTTTTCACTGCTTGCTCCAGTGGGAAACTTTTTGGAGGCGAGCAAAACCAGGGAACAAACAGCTCAGATAAGATCTAACCATCCTTTTGCTCATGGATTTTCATCTGCAAAAAAAAAAAAAAAAAAGAAGCCCAGGCTTCAGAACAGCAGTGAGCATTAAAAAAAGTGTGACACTCCACCGATACTGTCAGTCTTGCAAGTTATTATCAAAACTGTAGAGTGAGATTTCCACCCTCCATGGGATAAGGTACATGTGAATAAAGGGAGAAGAGCAGACAATAACAGAAAATCCTGCACCAAGCTTTGCCTTTTTTTGGCCACATTATCTCCAACACAAGGTGCCCTCTGCAACAATAAATCCCCTTCAGCAATACTGAACGATTAGCTTTGTGCCAAAACACACGAAAAGAGAAATGAGATTTATTATTTCATATATGTAATGGACGGCTATCGGGGTGAAACACAATGAGATGCTAAGATTTACTTGGGTCTCATCAGTTACCTGCTCTTAATTTTATTATCAATCATATGTTGGCATCAGTACCTTAAGCGAATCCTTTCAAGTCATTTAAAGCATCTTCTGCGCCAATCCCATAAAACACCTTGGCACTTTAATGATGTAAGCACGCAGAAGCCTCTTACCGGAGTGAAGTTCATGACTTTGAGAATCCAGATGGTGAGTGCCAGGTTGACAATCATTGTGACGAGTAGGAGGAGGATGAAGAAGTACAAGCATCTCTTCCTCCAGCCGTAGATGCCGACTGCTGGGTAGACCTGGCCACTGCACTCCGACGCCCCTCGCTGGTGGAGGGGGTTGGGTTGGGCCGCCAGGATGTACTGCTCCTGGGTCATCTGAAACGATTCAATTAAAACAACGTGTTTTAGTTAAGCGAAGATGAAATGACCAGACCAGATGTTAAATCCATCAGAAATGCAATGGATCTTCCAAAAAGAGCTGAAGACGGACCAACGCAGGACGGAGCAAAATGTCTAAAAATAGATCTTCACCCAGTTCAGTGAACAGATAAGGACACCAGAGGTGTGGGTGAACTGCTGATGGAGAGATGGATGAAAAATGACGAGCAGGAGACAGAAGAAGAAGACCGGAAGCATTTAAGAGTGAGATAGTGGTGAGGAGAAAGAGAGACGAAAGCCCGATAAAAATGAGATTGAGGTGGAGCCGTTAAGTGGAAAGATAGCGCACCTTTGAGTACGTTTGAGATAGGAAGGAAGGATGGAAAAAGGTACAGAGGGCCGATAAGAAAGTAGAGGAAGACAGAGTCCATTAGTTGAAGTGCAGCATGTGGAGGCATTGGTGGCAAGAGATACAGACTCTCGCTGCAAGGCTGTACTATCTTCGCCTATCTGGCTCTCCAACTCTTTCGCTCTCCATACCTTAAAGTCTCTATTGCTCCCTTCCTTGTACTCCCTAATTCACTTCCTATCTCACTTTAGCACGTCTCTCGATCTTCATCAGTCTCTGTCTCATGCACACATTCACTCTTGTGCACAAGCATACATTTGGTCTTTATTTGCGGAAATTGCATGACCTTAACGCCTCAGTGGCTTTTGATTCCCCCCCCTCCTCTCTCTTTCCCAAATAAAAGCTTTCTCTCAGTGAATATACCAAACTGCCATGACTGGGAAAACTGCTGACTCTAAACTTGCTGAAGAGAAAGAAAAAAAAAATGAATGCAAACAAGAAATGAAGTGAAAAGGAGTTTTAAAGACAATTCAATTCAAGAAGGTCAGTTCCAATGTGAAATTTAAAAACTTTTAGACAACGAGGATTTATAGTTCACTGCTGTGCTTTTTTTCCATGTTAAGAAACTTCCATTTCCATTAGACCAATGTAAAGTCTACAATATGAAACAGTTTCACACTTCTGTGACTAGTGCAGTTACATAATAGCACACAAGTCTTTCCTCAGGTTTTTCAGTACCACTCTTGCATGCAAGGGGACACTGGAGCCGATATTCTAATCCAAAAGCATACATGCAATGAGAAAAATGTCCAAACAGAGCAAGTTCAGAATGTAACTTTCCTAAATTATGTTTTTGTTTTATATTTGTAAAAACTGTCACCATACAACATGAGACAGACAATCTGTGATGAAAAATATACCTCCTCTTTCACGTCCCAGTGCAGATATGTACTTCTCCCAGTCGGTACTAAACAAGCAATCAAAGCCAAGAAGATTGTGATGAAGACGTCAATGATGCTCATGTATGAACTGCTCATTGTGTTAATGGCGGAGAAGACTTAGCGTTCCAGGAAAACTGTTTATCCACAGTCACCTGTGGCTAAGCTAACTGGACTAAGCATTCATGGCAGGATCCAATGTGGGAAGCTAGCTGTAGCCTATCAAGAGGGGAAGTTACGATCAACACATACACAAGGATGATTGACAGCGTTAAGGCCCTCTTCTTGGCTCTGATGGGCTGTTTTGGATTCCATTTTTTTCACAGGTTTTCTGTTTCACACTATACTGTTACTGTCACTGACAGTGACCCCTGTAGTATCCAAGTAAAAAGAGAGAGAGAGAAAAAAGGATCTTTAAGAAATGTACATGCTGCAGCCTTCATGTAGCTGTACAGAGTTGGACAGTTTCATAAAGTCCAACACAGCTGTGTGGTTTCCTCTGGACATCAGGAGATATTTTCCACAAAGTAACCTAATACCTGCTGCCTGAACCACGTCCAGACTGAGGAAAAACACAAGTGAAATGCATCCAAGATTCATCGGAAACCTAATCAACCAAAACGCATGCAGCGGTGCACAGGAATACGTCTGAAAGCATCAACAACGAAGCATGAATTCAATCAGAATACTGCATGTGTAGCAATTATTAATACCTAAAAAGGCACGTGTCGCTCTTGTAATGGAGGGGAAAGAATTTAATTTCATACAAGATTAAAAGGAACCAATGTGGGGAACGTGGTACATATTCCAATTTGTTCCTTAGCAAAGGAAGATAAATCTACTTTAAAATTTGCATGTTGAACAAGCATTCAATATTCTCGATTCAGGTGTAATCCAACCAATTTATCTGTAAGCACAATCTGGATTGGGGACATGCATCAAAGTCGAGCAGAAAGAGGGCTTAATGTTTGTCAAGCAGGATAATGGACTAATGATGTTTTTCCTTTTCACAGTCGTGATTCACAGCAGCGGTCTAAACCCTTTTACATGTTTCTGATCACTTTATGCAGACAAAACCTACGGATCAACATAAAAGCATTTGATAATACAGAGTTGGGATAGGGTACCGGGCATATTGTCTCTGTTTTCAGCATCCCAGCTGAATCAATAGCGGTGTTTGTTCCTGTGCCGATATGTTGCCATGTGTAGAAGAGTTTTCTGTGGTGACCCTAGAATGCTAATAATTTTTCCTTCAAGCATAAACAGCAAGAATCAATAGATGTCCAGAAGGATCTCTGTGTGCGTTTGCGTGCACCGCGTGTGTTCGTCGCATGGTCGTTTCTGCAGTGCGACCGAGTCGAGCAATGAGAATCACTGATATAGATGACAACAGAATAAATGGAATGACATCACCCCCGTACTTCTGGAGAGTGTGTGCGGCTACTTTTTGTCAATTTCCAGTCCCCGAGTCCCTCCGTGATTTACTGTAACTGGCTGTGCCAATGAGTCATTCGCTGTGATACATCTGAATTTCCGTATCATTTCACTCAAAGCCCGGCATTGTTTTCATGCCTGTCACTTTAACTCAGTAGTTTGACAATGTATGCTTTCTGTGAGATGGTGAGGAAAAAAAAAAAGCAAACAAACAAATGACACACTCATGTTGTCAAACAACAAACAAACGCACCAAAGGAAATATCATCAAGCATATTTTCTTATTCAAGCCCTCTGGCTCCTTTTTCAAACAATGCTTATGACATTTCTTTCTTCAAAATGCTTCAAAATAAATTGAATTAACGTTTGTGTTTAAGCTCAAAGATGCTTGAAAGCTTGAAGATTGAATTGCTGAAATTGCATTCAGTTAGTTTCCCGTTTGCATCGTTACTTCAGTCAACGCTGATGGCAGCTGCTGAGATTATGGTTTAAGGTTTAAAAGGTTTCAAATTTCAATAAAATGTGACATGCATGACAAAACATTGTAATACAAAGTACTGTGCAACACCTTAAAGCCGTCGATAACTTCGTCATGTGTATTATGGGGAGGTTACAAGTGGAGGACTAACCAGAAAGCCTGATAAAATACCCAAGTGAAAGCAACGTAATCTGAAAGTCTTAAAAGGAGGCATTATGCCAAATAGACATTTTTTAGCCTTATGAACCAATGAACAGCACAGAGAAGTATTGTGATGCTGAAGTGGGAGTGTCGGAAAGGTAAAAGGTTCTTAAAGAGACGGAGGCCAGTTTCAAAGTGGCAGATATGGCTGCAAATTTTAAGTTGTTTTTGATATAAACCGCATTTTCATAACTGAAGCCAACAGTTACTGGATTGTGCTTTTAAATGGGATTATGTGAAAAATACATAAAAAGTTTAGATCACATGTAAGTGTTTAATTAAACTCAACTACAATTATTTTGATTTCATTTCAAAATTGCAATTCACCTCTTCCATTGCTGCTTTTCAGACCAACTCCGTTTACACCTTCTCTTCCTCCCTTTGTTTTCAGCCAACCCATTTTTCTCCCTCCCATTTTTTTTTTTTTTTGTCATACACTAATGCCTCTTTCTCCGTCTCTCTCAATGCATTTCTTAGATTGAACTGACAGCGTGGTCATCAATCAATGCTATGGGGCACCACAGCCTGTGCGCAGCATGACTTAACTGTATTAACATCACAATGTCTTTACAGCCATGAGAACAATGTCAGCAAGAGCCACATTGCCATGGATACCAAACACAGCACATCTAATGGAGGCATAAGTCAATTCAGGCACTTTACTTAAGACCGGCTTCCCATAAAATACATAAATACAGTTAGCTTTTTTTGCGGGAATATTTTGTGGTTGGTAGTATGCGACTTCCAAATCAGGATTATAAAAATACAGCAATAAATTAAATGCATGATGGAACATAATTGAATAGCTGTGGCTGATTGATTGGTTTGCTTTTCTTTTAAACTAGTGGCAATGTGAAGGGCTTACTGATCAGCAGGGTAACTAATAGATACCGTTTATCAAAGCAGCAGCTTTATCAATAGAGGAGCTACAACCAATGGGCAAAGACGTTTCACGCTAATGAAAACTTATTTAAATGTGTCAAATATTGGCATCTATAAAAATTCTGATCAATTCAGATAATTTTTTTTTTTTTTTTTGCCCATTGAAACATGGCGTTTTAAGAGTTACTGAGATTTTTACTAAAACTTTGTCCTTTTGGCCAAAAGACATGAATTTTCACCTTGAAACACTCCTGATGGATCTAGTATACAATATGCCTACTTGAAAGCATACCCAAGCACCTGTGATGCTGTGGGCCTGTTAATTTTATAGAAGCTTTGGAAACCTTACTACTATATTTAGTATGAGGAAGTTTTGAATATTTATTCAAAAAACAAAAACATTTCCTAAATATTAGCCTCTTTCAATTGCAACCTCGTTCCCTTGACCAAAATCCTTGTGTAAAAAATTAAATCTTAAATTGTCAACCTTGTGAACAGGGGAAGAGTAAGCATTGTGGTATTTGCCAATTCACTTTGAAGAATAGCACTCGGTCGTGATAATTGTTGCACACATGATGTAAAAACTCGAACTTTTACTTGATGAATTATGTTCCCAAACAGAGTCCATGATGTGGTGAGGTACTTGGATGTCATTCTTAAAGTAAAACAAATTAAACTTGTATTCATTTTAGCAAAAAATGAGTTAGAAAGCACA